AATATATTAATATACTATAGTAGTAATATACTAATATAGATATTGTATATTTATATAATATAAGTTATATAATTAATATATAATATTATTTTTATATATTAATATTAGGGATGTCAAACTGGCTCGTCGTTCGCGAACAGCTCGTGTTCGGTTCGTGTTCGGCTCGCTCGTTAAGAAACGAACACGAGCTTATTTCAAACAAACTAAATTTTAAACGAACCGAACACGAACACAAGCTTTGTTCGTTCGTGTTCGGTTCGTTTACACCCCTAACCCTTAGTGTGAGATTGGTAAATTTAGAAGAGTTGAGGGTTATATATGTAAATGCTCTCTATTTTTTTTAAAGAGCCGAATAAGGGCCGAACTTGCGCGGCAGAGATCAATTAGGTTTTGCGAGCCCGTATATAAATTTCGCTTCGCCTCCATTTTCTAGGGTTTTTGCGATACGCTCGGGTGTCGTCCGCAGCAACAGAGAAGAAGAGATGGGTACATGTCTTCGTTTTCTTCTAACATATTTTCCAATTTTTTACGAAGATTTAGTCCTGAAGCAAGTCTTCTGGTTTTTTTTGCAGCAAGGATTAAGGTTCACGAACTTCGACAGAAGTCTAAGACGGAGCTCCTGAATCAACTGAATGACCTCAAAGCGGAGCTCGCTCTTCTTCGAGTCGCCAAGGTGACTGGAGGAGCCCCCAACAAGCTTTCCAAGATGTAATTTTTTTTCTCTCACTTACGTCGTTTCTCTCTTTGTGCTTCTCGCACATCTCCTGATGGTTATGTTTTGCAGCAAGGTGGTGAGGCTCTCGATTGCGCAGGTGCTGACTGTGATATCCCAGAAGCAGAAGGCGGCGCTTAGAGAGGCTTACAAGAAGAAGAAGTTTCTCCCGCTTGATCTCCGACCTAAGAAGACCCGCGCGATAAGGCGTAAACTCACCAAGCGTCAGGTCGGCTTCATCTGGCTGTTTTTTTTTCCGTTTTCTTTAATCGTGGTGTTTTTTTGTGTTTCAAAATTTTATAGATCTCTTTTTTTTTCAAGATTATTGTTATATCCTTTAGAGCATAAATCAATTTTGTGGCTATAATCTGCAATGAAATTACGTAATAGTGGTGCGGTCGTCTCTTAGATTTTAAGTCATATGCCAGGTATTAGGCTAGGGCTTCATGATTCGTGGTTGTGCAAAGTATGCAATTTTGGTAACAGCTGTAAGTTGGATTTGCTGTGAAAACTTTGTACAAGAGAGCGGTATGTGGGATCTTTAAATTTAAGGTATTGAGTAATAAATTTGTTCCCAGCAGTCTGTGTAGACATGCAAATTAAGTTTTATATTAGAATTATAGGAAATCAAATGAATTTCTTTTTCACTTTCCTGTTTTTTTTCTACTCGCGGGGTCTTAAGGAAAAATAATTTTGTTTCTACGGAGCTCAAATAAGAAACCGAGGGTTCTAGAAAGCTACAACCATCATTTTGTAGCTATTTTGGCTTCAATCTCCCCTTTTTAAGCGCAAAAATTGAAGATTTAGTTATGATTTAAAGTTTTGTATTATCATCCATAGATCACTTTTTATGGATTCATTGAGATATTGTCAACAAAAGTGTATTGAAGATAAAAAGCATTTTTATAATTTTATCATCCTTATTATAGGATTAATATGTCATCGATTCTAGATTTATTGTTCTTTCTGCTAACATTTTAGAAGATTGACATTCTCATCAAGGAGTATCTTGATATGATTTTTGTTGATTTTGAAAAAACCTTTGATAAAATTTTAAGAGAAGTTTTTTGGAAACTTATGGAAAAGATAGATGTTAAAATTAATTTTATTCAAGTTATTAAGGACCTTTATATTAGAGCTATTACTTGTTGGAAAACAATGAGAATTGAATTGACCAAATTTTTTTCCTGTTTTCAGTTGGATTGCATCAGGGAATGGCTTTGTGCACATCTCTATTTGCTTTAGTTATGAATATTCTTACTGGACATTTACAAGAGAGTATACCTTGGTGTATTCTTTTCCCTAATGATATTCTGCTTGTGGATAAGACTAGAGAGAGAGTTCATGAAAAAGTTTTAATTATGGAGGTCAACTTTAGAGTTTTTCACTAATGATATCCTTTTGTGAGTAGGGAGAGAGTTCAGAGAAAAATTTCAATTATGGAGGTCAACTTTAGAGTCTAAAACCTTTCATTTGCGTAGCTCTAAAAGTGAGTACATGGAATAAAATTTTAGTAGTAGTAAATCTAGTGGCGGGGTTATAACATTGGGCGATGAAGTCATTAAAAGGCGTGAACGTTGGGTTTATTGTTCAAAGTGATGCTGATATAGATGGGGTTGCTATTAGTAGTATGTTGATTTAATATGTTTTTTTTTTTTAATTTAGAAGGGTGGTATAAATGTGAACAATTAAGTTTCAATTGTTAGATATGTAAATACACAACAATTGAATATTAAGCATTTAAATGCCCAAATTTAAGTCATCTCCACCTTTGATTTTCATCAAAGGGAGGAGAGTTTTAAAAGAGCTTTAAGGCCCCGCGCCCACTACCCAAAAGCTCCCTACTCTCTCCTAGACCTAGCCTCTATTTGTGCCGCCAAGTAAAGGCAACAAATTTATCTTTTTCTTTGTTTCCCCTCATCATTCCGAGGGAAGATCCCGATAAAAGCAAAAAAGAAAAAAGAAAAAACAATTAACCTTCTTCTGTTCAGTCAAGAAGACTGAAGCCCTCTTTCTGCCGCCGCCCCCTCCTCCTGTTCTTTTTGCAACAAACCTAAGCTCTCCCATCCTCCTTCGCGATTCACAAGGTTGAATTCCCTCTCATTCCTCTTGCAGCGAACAGCTCTACTAGTTTGGTTTGAGCTGGGATTAAAGACTCTTCCTCTCCCTTCCCCTTTGTTTAGCATAAGGCCTCCCCCACTCAGGAGCTTTCCTCAAAGGCAAGTCTCACGCCAAGTAGCTCTACTAGTTCGGTTTGAGCAGGGATTAAAGCCTCTTCCTTTCACTTACTCTTCCATTCGCAGAAGGCCGCCCCCACACAGGCGCTCTTCTTGAAGGCAAGACGCCCGACGAAAGTTTCTCCGATTTGTGTATCTCATAAGCAAGGTGAGGAGATATCCCTTTGCCCTCTCTATTTTTTTTTTCTTTCAAGTCTCTGTCGTGTCGCTTCATGCAAGTTTTGTCAATCTTAAATTTTCTCGAGGTATGGTTTGTTGGGTTTCATTGATTCGTTACATGTTCCATTTTCTATATGTATTGTTGGTAGAATGCTAGCATGTGTTTCATGTTTTGTAAGTTAACCTTCCCTCTCTCTTCAATGTAAAAGTCACATTAGGATGTCGCATGCTATGTGGTTGCTAAAATGCTGCAAGGAGATCCACTTCATTGTTTCGTTTGCATCAAAGTTTGGTGTATAATATTTGGGTTTTTTTTTTCTCTATGCACTTAGTGTAAATCTTGTGTAAAACCTTGCATAATCCTTTTCGAATGTCACTTGAAAACAACATCTTATCTTACTGAAATCATGCATAAACTTTATCTAAATCTTTCTCAAATCCCACCACCAACAACCTTCCTAATCAGTCCATGTCCTGTTTAAATATTGCTGAAATGCCGCTTGAATGCAGCCTTTAAAAATACCCAAAATCTGCTTGCATGCTGTCGAAGTGCAGCGACCAAACATAGTCATCAAACAGCCCTCAAACCCATTTAAAATTTTCATTCATTTCAGCCATCAAATAGCCTTCAGAACCATTCAAAACCTGCATACATTCCTACCATCAAAAACATCCCTCAAACCCATTCAAAATCTATATACATTTCAGCCATCAAACATGCTGTGTGTTACGGTTGACGCCGATAGGGTTACAACAACAACGATGATGACAAACCTTTATCCCACTAAGTGGGTTCGGCTATATGAATCATTTTTTTTCTTTGCATCATATTGAGTGTCATATTTTCATTTAATTCTAATAAATTAAGATCATTTTTTTTACATGCTTGTCTACCTCTGATTTTCTTAATATAACAACAACAACAACAACAACAACAACAACAACAACAACAACAACAACAACAACAACAACAACAACAACAACAACAACAACAACAACAACAACAACAACAACAACAACAACAACAACAACAACAACAACAACAACAACAACAACAACAACAACAAAGCCTTAATCCCACTACGTGGGGTCGGCTACATGAATCTTTTTTCTCCATTGCGTCCTATTTAGTGTCATATTTACATTTAGTTCTAGTAAATTAAGATCATTTTTAATACAATAAGCCCAAGTCTTCCTAGGTCTACCTCTGCCTTTCTTATTATAAGTCGAATCTAAAACATCTAAGCGGTACTTTTCTGGCACCGTATAGTTGACGTTTAATGTGACCAAACCATCTAAGTCGGCTCTCTCTAATTTTGTCTACCACAAAAGCAACAACAACCTTATCACAGATATATTCATTTCACAATTTGTCTCTAATTCTAAAACAACTCATCCACCTAAGCATTCTCATCTCGACAACACTTTTCTTAGTTTTATGCTTCTCTTTTAAAGGCCAACATTTTGCGTCATAGAGCATTGCAGGTCTCACCTCCACCTTATAAAATTTTTCTTTTAGTTTAAGCGGTACTTTTCTGTTACACAGTAGGCCTGAAGCATTCCTCCACTTCAACCAACCAACTTGAATTCTACTAATGACATTCCCATCTATATCACCATCACTTTGAATAATAGATCCAAGATATCTAAATGTTCACAACTTTTAATAAATTAATCACCCATAGTTACAACTCTTTCACTAGCGGTTCTACTACTAAAATTACATTCCATTTATTCAGATTTAGTTTTACTCAAACGAAGGCCTTTATACTCCAAAGTAGACCTCGATAATTAAAATTTTTCCTAAGCTCTTTCTCTAGCCGTGTCCACAAGAATATCATCAGCGAAAAGCATACACCAGAGTGCATCCTCCTGTAACTTTCCAGTAAGAGCATCCATAACTAAAGTAAAAAGATATGGGCTTAAAGCTGATCCCTCGTGCTAAAAAGGGAAAATATTTGGTCAATTCTCCTCTTCGAACACAATTAACTTTTCTAATATACATTATCTTTAATGACTTGATTATAAGTCATATCAATACCTTTTTTCTCTAGAACTCTCCATCTTCTCTAGGACTCTCCAATGGATATCTCTTGGAGTCTTATCGTAAGCTTTTTCTAAATCAATAAAAATCAAATGTAGATATTTCTTATTATCTCTAAACGTCTCCATCAAACATATCCATAAATGTATAACTTCCATAGTAGACCTGCCCAACATAAATTTAAATTGATTATGAGAAATTTTTGTAGTACGTCTTAACCTATGTTTTATTGCCCTCTCACATAATTTTTATGTATGACACATCAACTTATTTATTCTATAATTTGCATACTCTTGTGCATCCCCTTTATTCTTAAAAACGGGGGCTAAAATACTATTAAAGAGTTTAGTAAGCCAAGAAACTCCACCTATGTTGAATATCTTTTTCTATGAAAATATCTTTTGATTTTCATCTTTAATACCTTTTACTTGAGTTAAAACTTTAATTTTTTTTCTCTTTGTTTGGCTAGTTCATACATATATTTTTCACTATATTTAGTATCTAATCTAGTATAAAGATCACAAAAAGCATAATTTTTAACGTCACAGCTTGCTCTATTAGACTCCATACGAATCATTTTATATTTATCCTAGTTCTCTAAGTTTTTACATTAAAATCAAATTTTATTATATAAATTCTTATCTTTTATCTTTTTCTTGATTATTATTATTCCACCACCAACTATTTTTATTTATAGTAACTTTTTTTTTGGATTTTCTGAGTACGTCTTTTGTCATTTGTTTAATAGTCTTGTTAATTTATCCACATAGAATTTGCTTCTTCATGAACATTCAAAATCTTGAAATCTTCAAGTTTACTCATAAAAAATAATTTTATCCCATCTAATTGTATGACAATGATTCCTATTATTCTTTAGTTTACAACTCTTCATCATAAAATCTAGAACTAATAATCGATATTGAGTATTTAAATTTCAACTTGGAATGATCTTACAATCTTTACATTTTCGACGATCTATTATTCTCATGAGAAAATAATCAATTTTTGTTTTATTAGTTCTACTCTTATGAGTAATATTATGCTCATCTCTTTCCTTGAATAAAATATTAGTAATAATAAGATCATATGCTAAAACAAAATCTAATATAGCTCTATCTTCTTCATTAATCACTCCAAAATCGTAGCCACCATGAATATTTCCAAAATTTTATGCTATTCTATCGACATGCCCATTTAAGTCTTCTCTAATAAAATTTCTTTCTTCAAGAGGTATCATTTGTATTTGTTCTTCTAGGTCATTTCATAATTTTTCTTTAAAACTTGTATTTAAACTTACACCATAAGCGCTCATAATATTAAAAATTTTATAATAAACAACAATCTTAAGGGCTATAATTTTATCTCCATTTCTGTTAATTTTTATGATCATTATCTTTCAAACATTTATCTATAATAACACATACACCATTTCTAGTGTGACTCTTATATAAATATCAAAGTTTAAAACCTAATTAATCGGTTTCCTTATTTCTCCAACCTATTTAATTTGTTGAATACAGAAGATATTTATCTTTCTATGAATCATAATATCAACTAATTCCATTTATTGATTTGTGAGAGTACTTATATTCTAAGACCCTATCATAATTTTAGTTTCATGGACTAATGTGGGAACCTTTGTTTGTTTGACATTACATTCGGGCGTCGGTGTAGTTACCTAGCATTTGCATAATGATCAAAATGATTAATATAATAATTTTTTGACAAATTTTATGCTGATTGTCGACTGCCTAACACAACCCTTCACTTTTCACATTTGTGGTTTGGGATCCGACAATGACAGTATTAAACCTTCAAAGGGGTCAACCCTGATAGGGTTGACTGGAATGATTGACTGTAGATATCAAAATCTAAGTTTGGTTTGACCCAAATAACTTTGGGGTCGCCTGACCTTGCACTTCTCTCTCTCTCTTCTTTTTTTTTTTTTTTTTTTTTGCGTTGTAATGTGGAGACGAGGAACCCCTTAGGACCTACCAATGACATAGTCTTTCCATGATTTAATTTATATGTACATTGTCCATGCCAAACTTCTTTCAATCTCCTCATCTCCTCTTTTGAAGATTAAATCCTCGTCCACGTTTGACTATCTCTTGTTGAAGGGCTTTAAATTTCCTTATTGTTTCTCATGACAAATTTCGACTCTATGATGCATCTCTTCCTACTTAAAATATATGGTGTTAACTCGAGAGATATTTTTTTCTATAAAAAAATTGTAATGAAAACAGTCCTACATTACCTTCGCAATGGGGGGAGTTGTTTTTCTCCTTGTTCTCAATGTTGTCATGCTAATCATCTCTCAAAACGTTGATGGATGAAGTTTCATCATCTTAAAATTGCCTGGTTGCTAGTGTTAGAGGTGTAGCTCAGTTAACCTGACGTTCTTAGGATTTCAACTTGATAAAAAACTAGTGGGTTGAGATCATTGTACACTTAAAATTATATATAAAGAGCTTAAAATAAAATTATTATAAGTATTTAAAAGATCTATTTTTATTCTTTATTTTGTTAGTGTTTCATTGCTTTTCTCTTTTAATTGCTCATTTCTTATTTGTAATTTTTTGCTCTAGAATTCAAATCATTGCCTTTTTTTAATAATCAGCTCGAGTTGGTTTGAACTCAAGCTAGTGGTGGCTAAAGCTTGTAGAAAACAAAATTTTGGGAGGAAAAATACTTTCTTCAATTATTTACATGTAGGGTACATATATATATATAGAGAGAGAGAGAGAGAAAGAGAATGATCTTCCCTAATTTACAACTTATCAAATTTGACTAGTTTAAATTAGGAAAGGAAATAACTCTAAAATAAAATTAATGAAACTTAAATTAAGAAGTGAATATAAACTAAGAAATGTGTTCTCAAAGATATCTTCAATCAATTCTTTCTTTGATTTTGTGAAGCAGCTGTCCATGAAGATGAACTCTAGGAAGATGCTTAAAGGAAGAGGTTTGGTTATAACTTGTTGGTGTATCGGAATATAAGTTAGTTGTATAGTACCACTATTAACCTTTTCAGAGATAAAATGCCTATCCCGACACACTGATGATAGGGGGGCTAGGTGGAGTAGGTGGTGAGACCGTGTATGCATAATCAAGTGCATTCCAAAATTGATGTCAATTTGTACCCTTTCTCTAAGCATTAGAGTTGAGGTAGTAGGATATATTTTTAAAAAATGTGACATCTGTGAAGCGGTATTTTCTAGTAACAGGAAAGTAATATACTTATATCTCATTTTGTAGGAGACACACTTAAGAAAAAATACACTTATAGATTTATAGTCTAGTTTTTGATTATTTGGGAATGGATGTGAATAAAGAAACACACCCAAAGATTTTCAGTGGTACATTAGAGAAAGTTCTAATGTAAGGATAGATAATCATCAAAACATAAAAATGTGTTTTGAAGTTTAGTACCCAACTAAGCATTCGATTGATAGGGTATGTTGTTGTAAGTAAGATATTTTGTAAGTTGATGAGAAATCATAATTGAGTGAGATACCTCAGGGAGATGCTTGTTCTTTCTCTCAGCTATCACATTTTGTTGTGGAACATCAATACATGAACTCATATGGATGATATGGTTTTTTGAAAGATATGACCCAATGATGAAATTGAAATATTCTCTTACATTATTAGTTTTGAGGATCTGAAATTTGTTGTGGCATATCACATGCATGATGATGGTGGCTTTTGTTTATGATAGTCATTGGGGTCTTTGAAAGAAATAAAGGGAAGGCTTTAGCTTGGTGGGTGGGTGGGAGGGAGGAATGATGTAGTTTCTTTGAAATTAGACTCCTTAATTATTTGGGGTGTTTACATACCACAGAATTATAATGTATTTACATATCTTACACCTAAACTTTCATATTTACATTAATATCATATCAAACATACTGCCATTGTTTAAAATAAACCCTTTTATGCATGGGATTATGGCAAGAAAATATTATAAATGCAAATATCAAAGTTTAGATGTTAGATATGTTAGTTCATCGGAATTGTGTGGGCATGTCTGTAAATTTCCATAATTCTTCCGGGATGTCAACTTTATCAATAACTAAACTCTTTAATTTTATTATACCTGGAAGATATCTTGAGCAAAAGCTTTTAGAGTCGATCGAACATGAACAGGTCTCTATTATTAAAATTGATTAATATCATTTAAATTATGTAATATTTATAGTAATAATGGTGTGTGTTTGTATGTGTTCATATTTGGGCAGGCCTCACTGAAGACTGAACGGCAGAAGAAAAAGGAGTTGTATTTTCCGTTGAGGAAGTATGCTATCAAAGCTTAGAAGATTATCATCCCCAACTATCTGTTTTTTTTTTTTTTTCTGAATTTTTGCTGAATTTTTGGCACTTAAAAAATTTATGCAGAATGTATTTTTATTTGAATCTGATGTTATCAATTTGCCTTCATTTGAATGAATGCTTTCATGCAATTCTCTGCTCTGCATTTTTTCTCGCTTAAACTTCTCTCTCTCACAAAACATTGCAGATTTATCCTGCACTGATGAAATGATGGCTTTTCTGGGTGTTTAAAGGTGTTTTTTAAGCCTTTATTAAACTATTTCTTCAAATGGCCAACAAAGCTGCTATTCATTAGCTTTAATTACTGTCTTGGTGTGCTTTAATATCATTAGTAATGGGAGCCTCTGATCGGTTTCCAGCGATAGTTTTGATTTGCCTCTCTGCGCACTTGAGTCAGAAACAGAGCTGCCAGCCTGTTCTCCTCTAAGCTTCAAAATTTGTTCTAGTTTATTTATTTATTTTTTTAATAATTTGAAAGATATTTAAATGATTAAAGTGCTAAAATAGAGCCCATTATTAATTTGGGCCCGGGCTTATTAAAGTGTCGAAATAGTTTACGGGCTTTTTAAATTAAGGTTGAAATAATTTTTATAGAGGAATATTAGAGCTCAATTTTAAAATATTCAGAGATTATTTTGACGTTTTTATAAATTCTATGACTTAATGGTCTTATATGTAAATAAATAGAAATTATGTGAAAGTGCTAAAATAATCTTGGGACTATTTAAATATTTAAATCCCACTTTAAAAGGTATAGATATTTACATATGTAAAGTTTTCTTCTTAATGATAGCAGAGACAAATCATGCGTCATTAGAAAACACCAAGTCATGTGATAGCTTCATAATGCAGGAAGAGGAAGAGCAATTTAGGATTATTTAATTAATTAATTAATTTATTTATTTTATTAGGAAGTCATAATGAATGACATTGCATTCATTCAGGGACAGTGTTGATGTTAGATAGAAGGTATCATAATATCATATGATCCTTGAAGAAATTATTCGATTTCACTTGGTATGCATATAATAAAATTCATGTTGAATACTTTTACGTTATCGGTTTCTATATCGTTTGTGAGCTCGAATGACCCGAGGGAAATCTGTCCACGGAAGGTGAAAGATGAGAATGAATTTGTTCCCTATACCTGAACTATATGTTCTAAAATTGATCTTTTCACGAATGAGAGGAGAAGTTGATGTGACATGCGAGAAAAAAGGATGTTAGGGATAGGAAGAAAGACCTCGAGAGAGTTACAACCTCAGATCTCCCTAATAAGGTTACAGAGAGATCGGCTCAATAGAAAATGGGGATACCCTCTCTTAGGTCTCCTCCCCTCCTCTCAGACATGCTTAAGCCCCACCCTAAAATATTGATGAGTCACGGTGTTTTTTTTAATTTTTATTGCATACAAAACATCTGAAATTTGACTATTTATAAAAATTATTATTTATTATTTTCCTTTTTCAAAATTTCATCTAAATATCAAAATTCATGAATTTTTTTATTTTATTACATTTCCTTTAATTTGATGTTAGTACGAACAAACATATATATGAGTGTTAGTTTTATAAATAAAATTTGATTGTCATGTACGTGCTCTCATCTTATTGAAAGGATAATGCTTTTAAAGGCGGGCATCATCCGTTGAATTTGTTGGCTCTGAAGATGGTTGACATTTGTTTGCTCTATGTACTGATATTAAAAATTAAATTAAAATTAAAATAAGTTTAAATTATCTTAATTATTAAAAAAATATTTTTTTTGAGATAATTATTTATATTTATTAAATGTATATTGTAATGATTTGAAAATTATAATAGTAGATTAGCCTAAGCACTGGATAGATTTGATATATAATTTTTTTTACAATTTATTAAAAATAAATATGCAGTGAAGCCTCATGATAAATTTCGGCTCCGTAACTATCGACCACCTTCAACTAGCTCATGCTGGCCGTCTCTATTTGTCATTGCCGGCGAACTCTATTGTGTAACGTTGTAATCCCGAATGCTAGCAGCTAACCATTTTGAATATGGTGTTACGATGTATCCTAAACACAATGTAACATTTAATGATATATTGAAGATTCGGCGAAAAATTTCGATGACAACTACTTACAGATGCCATTACGGCTGTAAATAAATCAATGCTCTCAATGAAAAACTCGAACTTGGCACGATTAAGACTCGATCAAGTTTTTCAAATTAGTAAATAAACAAGCTTGAAAAATTTTTAAAAGCTCGAAGCTTAAATAAACTAAACATTAACATAATCGAACCTGTTCATTTATAATCACGAACAAATTCGTTTGTTTTTCAACAAGCAACTTGTTAAATACTTGATATTAAGCTGGATGATAGTTCTATCATATATGATATATTATCTAAATAAAAGTTAATTAACTAGAATATTAAACCGTTTGCTAATAACTCGTAACATAAATGACATATAAATACTTGATATTAAGTTTTTGTAGGTTTTAAAGTTGTTATTTTTAGTTATTTGGTAGGATTTAGGTTAAATCAGGCTTAAATCTTACACAAACCCTTCTACCAATCCTTAAAGCGAGGGATTCAGAGCAAAAAGAAGGAGAAACAACATTTAGACACTATAGGGGTTAGAGTTTATAATGAATAAATTAATATTGAATTTTTTGTATGAAAATCTAGATAATAGTTTGAATTTTTAGCTCGTTTTAATTTCCACTCACTTGTCATAATCAAATCATGTACAACTCAAGTCCAAACATTAAAAATTTTAAAAAACTCAAGCTTGAAAAATATGAAAGCTCGACATAAGCTCAAGCCGAATCCTAAACAACTTATAGTCATACCTAGCCAAGTCCGAACTATGAAATACTTGGCTCGATTACAGTCCTAACTGCCATACATAGAATATGATGACTCTTTTCAAACTCTTCAAGTATTATACAAATTGTGCACAAATGTACTTAGTGTAGCATCTGTAACCCTTTTTTCACCCAATTTCAGTCCAAAAATATACCTTCATAATTACATATTTATATATTTTGAGAGCAGTCCATTTTTCAAACTAAGATAAGAAGTAGAGCTGTGCTTTAAATTTAAAATTTTTTAAATGAAACGTGCTATTAAAAGCCCCCATTCCAAATTTAATAGAAGAAATGCTAAATGAATAGCTTGGAGAATCCTATGCCAGCAAGATGCTAACTAGAAGCACCTATTTAATGATAAATTTGAATGACATGTCGAGCACATTTCAAAATAAAAAATAAAATAAAATAAAATAAAATATATAAAATTATAGTATCATTTATTTATTAAGGGGCAAACCCATATGCATCTCATTAGAAAATAGTAACATTTGTTATAAATAAAATGAGGGATATCATCAAATTAGTATCAAATAATACAGGCACTGCCACGTCCTAAACCTCGGATATGAAAAATAGAGTGCTGCGTTAAGTAGTCCACAGACAGCGTAAAAATTTTATCGAATAATCATGACATGAATCTATTAAAACTTTAGATTCAAATTATGTTAGGAAAGGAAGACAGATGTAGATTAAAAAAGTCTTGGACAATACAAATGATCTTAATCTATTAGAGTTAAATGAAAATATGACACTTAAATGGAGAAAAATGATTCATACAGCATACATACCATATAATAATTATTGTGCATTTGCATATCCGATATTTAAATTTTTACATTTACATAAATACTTTGGTGTCATAAATATTGGCATCATAATGCATATTTCACTCTTTTAAAAAATAGATAATATTGATATTTAGATGTAATATTTAAAAGTTGAATGTCAAATATGAAAATTTAAATATATTATACAGCGAAGTAAAGCCCAATATACAAGTCCTCAGCAGGTCTTAGGCCCACATTATATTTAAAGATCAGTTTAAGCCCACTTGCTCAATTATTTCGTCTCTGATTTTCTTCAGTTCACAGGCTCAGAGTATAAATTGACATCTTCCTCCTAGTTTCTCTCTGCCCGTCTTCCTCTTGGACACTCGCTCCACGGTCTCGCGCCTGCGGTCTATCTACTTCGCTGCGGGAGGAGGACGGTGGATTTGAGCTGATCCGTGTACGAGTCTTCTGTCTAGGTAAGGTCTTCTGTCATGGCGATATTTGTTTTTGTTTTTGTTTTCAATAAATTCGGCAGGTCGTTTGTTAGATCTGGTGTTTGTATATTTTTGATTTTGATATTATGTGGTGTTTCGTAAGTATTTGGATGATCGGGAAGTATTGGTTTATTTTGTAGCAGATGAATTTGATTTCTGATGTAGATCTACGGAACTGTGTTTGATTTTGAAATATCGGAAATTCTATTAGGGTTTTGACTTGTTTGAAGAGATTTGTTCTCTTGAAGGGTGGATCTGGAGCTGCCATGATTTTCTGTATGAATCGTATGCTTGTAGCATGATATATTGCTAGTTTCTAAGAGAAAAAAAAAATCAAGTGTTTATCTAATTGATACTCTGGAACAATTAGTTGGCTATAGTCTTACGTGTTCATATCCTTTTTTGTTTCTTTTTGAGTTTTGCAAGAGAACATAAGCTACTGGGAGTATTTTTCCCCAGATTTGCTGTTTACTTTTTAAATTCATCAATAAACGACTTATAAAATGGCTAATATGCTTCTGTAAGGAGGTCACATGAACTTTATAATAGGCTCATGGATTTTTCCAGGATTTTCTAGTGGACAGCTGTTTTCTTTTTAAGTGTCTAATCTGTTGTGAATCGCTGGATCATCATCAAATTTTGTTAATTAGCTTCCTGGTGGTAGCTATTTAATTTTCTTTCATCATGTTATACTTTGACTTTATTTTTGAAAATATCCGACAACATGGATTTAGATTCAGAACTCTAGATTCATTATTGAAATTATTTTTTCGCATTGTAGAGTAAAGGGTTCCTTTCAAGTAACTTTCTAACTTATATCTTGTCCAAGATGACGTCCCTGCCAGACTGCTTAAAATTTCGTTTTCAAACCGTTAAAATTCTAAAATACAAGGGAACATTATTAATATTTTTTGGCCAGTTTTGTTGTATGCCGTTTACTGCCGGCCCTTTTATTTTCTACTTCATATGTTTGTTCAAGTTGCGGATCTGGTGGGTATAACTCTTTCTCTGTTTAAGCGGTTTGATGGTTTCTTTTCCATGTTATGTCAGTTATTCTGCAGATTAGTCAAAAATGGCGGACGTTGATGATATTCAGCCTCTTGTTTGCGATAATGGAACTGGAATGGTTAAGGTAAACTTCAAGTTAAAAGTTTTAATCTGGAAATGGCTAGAATCATTTCCGGCCCCTTTCATCTCATTTTGTTTGTTAGGCTGGATTTGCTGGTGATGATGCACCCAGAGCTGTGTTCCCAAGCATTGTAGGCCGACCTCGTCACACTGGTGTCATGGTTGGCATGGGCCAAAAGGATGCTTATGTGGGAGATGAAGCTCAATCTAAAAGAGGTATCCTAACCTTGAAATATCCTATTGAGCACGGAATTGTAAGCAACTGGGATGATATGGAAAAGATTTGGCATCACACCTTTTACAACGAGCTCCGTGTTGCCCCTGAGGAGCACCCTGTACTCTTAACTGAAGCTCCTCTCAATCCCAAGGCAAACAGAGAAAAGATGACGCAGATTATGTTTGAGACTTTCAACGTGCCTGCCATGTATGTTGCCATTCAAGCTGTTCTTTCCCTATATGCTAGTGGCCGTACAACTGGTTCGTATTATCCTTAGTTATTCTCTGATGGAGTTCACTTCTTCGGTTGGGTATCCCACTGAAAGTTTGCTTTTTTACAGGTATTGTACTCGATTCTGGCGATGGTGTCAGTCACACCGTTCCTATTTATGAGGGTTATGCACTTCCTCATGCCATCCTTCGATTGGACCTGGCTGGCCGAGACCTCACAGACTCTTTGATGAAGATACTTACTGAGAGAGGATACTCTTTCACAACCACTGCGGAGCGTGAAATTGTTAGGGACATCAAGGAGAAGCTAGCCTATGTAGCCCTTGATTATGAGCAAGAGCTGGAAACTTCCAAGAGCAGCTCTTCAATAGAAAAAAGCTACGAGCTTCCTGATGGTCAGGTTATTACTATTGGGGCTGAGAGATTTAGGTGCCCAGAGGTTCTCTTCCAGCCATCTCTGATTGGAATGGAAGCTGCTGGCATCCATGAGACAACGTACAACTCCATCATGAAATGTGATGTTGATATCCGAAAGGATTTGTACGGTAACATTGTTCTTAGTGGAGGTTCCACCATGTTCCCAGGCATTGCTGACCGCATGAGCAAAGAGATATCTGCGCTTGCACCGAGCAGCATGAAGATCAAGGTGGTTGCTCCGCCAGAGAGGAAATACAGTGTCTGGATTGGAGGATCTATCCTTGCCTCCCTCAGCACATTCCAACAGGTTCAATCTCCCCTCTCTTTTTTCTTTTACTATATCTCAATTAGTGAAGCTATAAATTTGACTTTTTGTTCCTATTTCTACTTGGCAGATGTGGATTTCTAAGGCAGAGTATGATGAATCTGGTCCAGCTATTGTCCATAGGAAATGCTTCTGAGTCTCCATTTTGGCTTCTGTTTCGTACTGCAATTTAGCTGTTTTTCTGTTCTTTGTTATTTAAGCTTGGGTTTTTCAGAGATTGTTGAATTTGAGTTAACCATGTGATGGTTTTATAATTCTCAGATGGGGTCTTATATGCTTGTAGTAGTGCTGCTCATTAATTTGTAAGCCAGCCGAACTTCTGTCCTATGTCTGTCAGACATGCCAGTTTGGACCAGATGGCTGGTTTCATCCTGGTTCTGTTTACCAACTTTTAAAACAGAGATAAATGGTCGGTCTTTCTATTTCATTGTTGGATTTTCTGCTATTATTCAAGGCTGTTCTGTATTGCAGATAAGGATTATGAACGGTTCAGAAATTTATATTTTTCATAGCATCTTACCAAAAAAAAAAAAAAAAAAAAATCTAGGAGGTTGTTTATGTTAATTATAATCTGGTCTTACTGCTGATTTGGCAGGCTACATGGGAGAGCTTGCGGCTGCTTCTGTTTGTTGCTTTTATTATGAGCTAAGCTTATATTTTTGTTTATTGAATACTTGAATGCTTTTGCTCAATTTCTACAACTATTTTTATTAGTTGCCTTTTTTTATTGGAAGAATTTGTTTACTTATATTTTTATTAAAATAAACTTTGTGCTAAATTGAAGGACTGTATTTAAGGTTAGATTCACATTGCTATGGTGAAACAGAAATAGACTCTCATTGATATATTTAAATTTTAAACAATAAATGATGTAAATAAGCTAGCTGGGGATTTTTTTTTCTGCCGTTTTAAAATAGTTGTGCTATAGTTATTTTTGAACAAATGATCAGTCTTCCCTGTACAGTTGTACTGTAATCATGTCTATAACAGATCTGTTCATACTAACATATTACATACTTGAAAGCAAATTTTTTGTGTGAACATTATAAAATAAAAATAGACATCTTACTAAACAGTGAGTAGGGGTGCAAACAAGTCGAGTTGAGCTGCCCTATAGCGACTCGTGGCTTGAACTTGAGTTTGATTAATTTTATTGAGCTTGAGGTTATGTCTATGAGTTTGAGGCGGCTCACAAGCTGACTCGTTTCTTATAAAAGAAAAAAATAATATTAATTTAAGGCAATCTTATAATAAAATGATAAATAAAATGTACAATTATAAGAGAAATAATAAGAAATTAATTAATATAAAGTATAAAATATTATTTTTTAAAATATTTTTAGTAATTTAAATAATTTTTTTAAATTTAATATATTTTGAGTATTTTTATATTAATATTATTTTTAATGAGCCGCCTCATAAGCTAATGAGTTAAATTAGGGCTCGCTAGAGTTTGGCTTTTTAGCTCATCGAGCTCAATTCACGAGCCACATATCAAGTTGAGCTCAAGCTGGGTCCCGAGTCGACATGACTAACACTCCTAATAATGAGTAGCATGACTTTTCAAATAAAATTAAAAACTACTACAATGATAATTAATAATATAATAATATTATTTTAAAAATGCAATTGGTATATATCTCTAGATAATTTCTCATACAGGGAAACTTTAAGGATTTGATCATTCTCGGCGGTGGAATCCTTCAACACATTTGCCTAGTTAAAAAAGTCACAATTTGCTATTTTTTGTTCTTGAAAATTTGTAAAACTCTCCTGTAGCTATGTGGTTGTTTGAAATAAACAGAGAATATTGTTCGAAGTAGTAGTACAATGCTCTCAAAGTATAAAAAGTCCTCGAGCTCTTATTTCCTGAAGTCTTAAATACACAAAACACATACCCTTAGATGTAACATTAGTAAAAATTAATAAAAAAAGTAATCAATTAAAATTTTATGCAGTTTTGAGGTCTCATAGACACAGTAGATAAACCAATAAATCTGTCACTATAGGAAGACAACAAGTCTTATCAAAAAAGGGTTCTTGGTTGTCTTTAACACACGTAATACCGAGCTCGTGTGTTTGAATATATGTATCACCAAAAAAAGGTCGTCGAGAATAATCTAAAAAATCATAGCACTGAAAAGAAGAGAAGCTTGGTTGTTTTCATTGAGATTTTAGATGTGACAATAACCAAAAGCGATATTAAGGCCATCCAGACGAACTTTTAAGCTTAAATATCGCATCATAGACATCTAAAACCCATAAAAAAGTCAATATTTAGGTTATGTTTATTATCCACGGTTGCCTCATCGGTCATCTAAGTGGAAAAAAATACATGCATAAGGAAAAGAAATGTAAGATTTGTATAAAAGACTATTACAATAAACATTAAAATCATAAAAAAAGAAATATGCATGACTTTGTATAACATATTGATATGATAAAAAACAAATATTTTCAGCATACATTAAAAATAAAATAACAATAAAAAATATATATTTCTTCCATTCAACCTCCAACTATAGCATCCATTATTCTTTCTATCAACTCTTCCATCTTTCTTGCGCCTTCCCCATCTTGAGTGTAAGTTTCAGGCACATCAATTTTGGTCTGTGACAAATATTGCCAAAGACAATATTCATATTCATCAACTGAGACATGCGAATGATCTTCATTAGCTCTATTGAAGTCATTATCGTTGTGGGAAGGACACCTCTAAATATAGTTGTAGAGACTCATCGTGGCAAACATAATCCGTACTTGTTCGGAAAATAGATATGTAGGCATACCGTGTAGTATGACATGTTTTTTCTTCAAAACTTCAAATGTCATTTTAATGGCACCGCTTAATAGGAGTGTCTCTTGTTGAACATTTCTCTCATGCATCGAGTGATATTTCTAACTCTCTGAAAGTTAGGTATGTGATATTTCGTATCATGATAGAGCTTTAGATACTCTCTTTACAACAGATATCCAACATCTACCCAATAATATTTACCTGACATTAATACAATGATTTCTATTGTAGTAAGAGCAATATCTGACTAGTTCAATCTCAAGCAAACTTGGGGGTGGATGAGAAAAATTGTATTTCTTAGTTCATGTTGCAAATTTGAAAATCCGACTATCATGTGCACTGCTCTCCCAACAATCCATTGTAGAAGAGAAGCATATATTAAAGTCACACACAATCATGACATTCTGAGTTGGTGAACCACAATGTCCTATGAATGTGATTTTCTTATTATTGGAATATGTGCATTCACATGTGTTTCATCATTCGCTCCAATATATTTTTAAAAGGTTAAACATTGTTAACTAATTACTTTATTCATTTGAAACTGACTGTAATAAATAAGTAAAATTATTTGAAAATATGACATATACCGCATGGCATGCGAAATCTCTACGGGGGTTCATTCGAATGTTATGTCTGTTAATTTGATGACTTGTGACGAAAAATTGACTAGTGCATTTAACCAAACTGAAAAATACCTATAGATTATTTCATATGAGTACTGGAATCGCTCCATGACTCCTCTCATAGATTCATTTTGCGATAATATGTAGAGGGTTATTATTAAAACCTCTCATGAAGTCATCTTGGAGGAGCCATGAAGTCCATGATTCCTATGTTGTTCCTCCAATAGATCAATGAATACAAGTTGTATCATACAAAACATATTGCTTCCAATGTATGAGGATGTCATGCAAGGAGTGCACATTTTTTTTAGGTATAATACTCAAACATCAAACGCACTGCTCTAATTCTCCTTTTGCGTCTTTGTCTATTTGCATTCATGTAGCTAATACATAAGAATCACTGATTTAGCTAACACATATAAATAAATACTATGTTCAAATAAAATTGGAGAAACAAATACAAAATATAACGATAAAAAATAGAAATACAAATAAACATTAACAGCAACTCAATAAAAAAAATAAAAATCCAAAGCAGCATGGGCAACAACCCATCAAAAACCAAATATAAAATATCATACTAGAATAAAATGAAATTCAAGTGTCCTTGTTTGCATGAAAATAACGTAAATAATGCAACTTACGGTCAAGGATCATCATCATGAAAAACTCTCTCCGGGTCGGGTCTTCAAGCAACTTCATAGAGAAAAAATATAACGACATGTTCTCATAATTTTATGGAGTTGTCTCCAGAATTCACCTAACCTGCTAACTGGATGTTACTTGTGATGGGTCAGAGTCATTAGTGAATGAAGTAACCAACTATGAAATCTAACTTCTAATGAAAGTAGCACTCTCTTTTTTATTTTCCCAACCCTAGGACGCTTTGATCGATTGGTGGATTCACCTTCATTGAGGTTCGGACTATGGTCTTCATTGGAATCACCTGTTTGTTCATCATCCAAGTTTTTGGTGATGCCACCAAATCCTGCTCATCAGGAGTGCATGCATTATTGCCTGTTATCACGACACCACGAAACATACAGTCTAACTTCTCTTCCAGTTCAGGCTCGTTGCAGCTCTATTTAATTTTTTTCACATTTGCAGCTCTATTTAAATTTTTTCACGAAACATACAGTCTAACTTCTCTTCCAGTTCTAACTTCTCTACAAAGTCATAGGTTATGTTGATGCATCTGAAAAAAATAAAAAATCGATAGAAGTAGTGGACGATTCATAAATGCTCACCTCTAATATCTCTGCCCAACATCCCTCCGAAGCATCGATTGTTCGCATTATCAGATCTCAACCCAAGCCCGTGGTCATCGCTTCAATTTTTTCCAAGTTTTCCAATTCTTTTTTAGTTGATCATATTTGTTTTTTAATTGCCTCGTAACGTACTCAATGCATGCACTTTCCTTGAACTTTTTAATAATATTATGTTAGTTCTCCTTGTTAAAATAGGTTTTTGACCTATTTCCCAATTAGATCTCCTTAAATCAAAGGTGGTAGCAAAATATTACTTTCATATATTTATTCCACATAGCATATGAACCGTCATCTTTTGTGTTAACCATTATATTACTAATATTAAAAAAAAACTAATCAACATAAATTTTTATCATAAGAAAATATTTATCACAACTCAATGAAAAATAACAATGTCATAATATAATCACCACTTACACCCAACCTCCACACCACACCGCTACACCACATTCACACACCGACACCTCTACACATCAACACATCCACAATGCCACTAGAAACACCTCCACACACCAACTCATACACACCACCATTACCACGACCTCCACATGCCAACACCCTCCACACACCAATACATCCACACCACCACGACCACCTCCACACACCAACACCTCACACCAACACATCCACAACACTATTACCGCCACCTCCACACACCAACACAGGGTCCGTATGCGTTCAAATTAGTCATTTGCATTTACAATTTATTGCACATGCAATCATCACCACCACCAACTTTCAATCAATAAAATCAACAAATAGAGCAAATAGAAACCAAATCCATCAACATGAAGCAGCATAAACCCATCATATGAGCATATCACAATGAATCCAAAAAAATCCCAAAATCCAACATAAATTGAAAACCAACGAAGGATAATAGCACAAAGAACCAGCAAAAGTATTGCACATAAGCATTTGCAAAAAAAAAAAAATTAAAAAAAAATAAAAATAAAAAAATCATCGCACAGTTAAGCCATTGCTTCACCTAATATTTCAAAAAAAAAAAAAAAACAAAACTGATGTCAAATAAGCCATTAGATGTTTCGAATTTAAAAATGAAGGGTTAAAAATCACGACGGATTCGACCACGATTTTCACTGGTCCAATTCCGATTATTCAAAAATATGGTCATCCCTAGCGTCTGAACCAACTACCCTACTGCTGTTCCGGTCTAATTTTAATAATGAAACATTCAATCTAATTACAGAATTTTAAAATGAAAACTTAAGGTGGTCCTGAAATCATTTTTAGAAATTTTTAGCTCTATAAAATTCTTTATTATTCGTGTTTTATCAGATAAATTCTCAAATTAAAAATCAAATATTAATGCATTCGGTAAAGAAATTAACAGTTTATACATGAAATGATTATACTGTAAAATTACTAAAAAGAAAGATATCTTATGCTCATTAGCATGTTTTTATATATATAACATAATTTTGTATTTTGTTATTAATAATTTAAAAATTTTTATGTAAAAAAGTGATCTTGATGAAAATAGTTCTCATTATTGTTTGTGGACCATGCAATTGCCATCATATTTGTCCACGACTTATAAAGAGAGCATCCAAAGCCATATATCCAGCTGTTTCTATAAATGCATATTGACAACTTGCTTGTGACCATATCCCATATTCATTTTTAGAGACCTACAACCAGTGTATTATGACAAGAGCATACTCCATCCCTTAAAGGCCCGGTCTGGACAATCGACCCAGCCTTAACAACCAATCGAGACGGACAACCGACCTAACTTGAACGAAGTCTGGACGACCAATAGCTTGGACTACCAGCAGTATGGAAGGCTCGTAACTTAGACAACCCAAAACAACCAACAGCCACAGATCCACACATGTCAAATACCTAAAATAGTCTGTACAACCCTCATTAAAACATGTTTCAAAATGTAATGTTTTCATATTGTACTGTATCCCGCTAATACATCAGTTTTGCGTCATAGAGACAAGTCGTTGTGCACTCCTCCTGCGCCCCCTTGTCTCTACTCATCTATCTCTATCTCATGTCTTACGCTCTATTATCAATAAAATTCATATTATTATTTTATAAAATTTTCGGCAAAATAATAATATTAAAAATACTATGGTTGATGGCCAAAAGTAATTGAGCAAGAAAATTATTTTGAAAGATTTACATGCATATCAATTGATTTTTATGTATTTATATGTCTTAACACCTAAATTTTATTTTTACACCTAATCAATACATAAAAAGGTGTATTTAACTTTTTCAAAATTAAAATTGTGGCACTTTTTATGGATGAGAAGTATCTTTGTGGTAAAAATGTAAAAGGAAAAAAAATTATATGGTACATAAATTAATACATAGAAATTGTGTAAAAGTACGGCTGTAATAGAGTCGAGCCGGGTCGAGTATATCATTGTTCTAACTTGGGTTGGAATAATTATAAGTTGTTCATGTTCAGCTTGAGCATGTGTTAAGCTTTCGTACATTGTTCAAGCTTGATTTTTTTTTTACATTTTCAATGTTTGAACCTGATTTGTACTTGATTTGCTTAGGACAAATGAAGGACAAATGAAGGAGTAATTAAACGAGCTAATAAAAGAACTAAAAATTTAAATGAGAATCTAGATTTACATGTAAAAATTTTAATAAATAACTTTTCAATTTTAACCACAGCTACTAATTTGCCGATTATGAACTCTAAAATCTTTGAACTTTACTAATTTGCTACATAATTCTTATTAATAGGACTACACCAATTTAAATTTTGTGAGCGGAATAACTAAATTGAACTTTAAAATTAGGGTTGAGTATTTATTTAATCATATTAATAAGAAAATAATAACAATAAGATAATTCACATTAATATTATTGATAATTACACTGAAAAATGCATTCATTACGTTCAAGGTCAAGAAAATTCTACAAGAAAAATCTTGTATGACACTTTTAATTGTAACTATATCATTCTAAATTACAATTCCCTTATTAATAAAATTAATATATAATTTATAAATAAAGTAAAAATATTATTAATATAATAATTTTTTATGATTAAACTTATAATTAAATTATTTATTGGAGGATAAATAAATTTATTTGTGAATGTAATTAAATAAATTTTATATTTAGTTCATTTAAATTTTAAATTTTTTAAAAATTATTTAAATTTATTTATTTATTAATTTAAACGAGTGTTATCGAAATTTAATGGAGTCAGTTTAAATTATTCATTGAGTGTATTGGCCCATTTACAACGCTAGCTAGTTCGACGAACTTAAGGAATTTTATTATATTATTTTCTATCTCGAAAATAAATTATAAAAATAAATGAAAACCATGAAAACGGGACTCAACTGCTTTCTCACCCTTCCGAGCGAGTCGCCCCTAGAATCAATAGGCATCTTTCTTCCCGCCGGCCATGGCCGCCGCCCCCGCCACTGCTCCCCCCAGCCCCAAGCTCCCACTCAAACTTCTGATCGACAAGGAGCGCAACCGAGTAGTCTTCGCCGAGGCTGACAAGGGCTTCGTAGACATCCTCTTCAGTTTCCTCACTCTACCCATGGGCTCCATCATCCGCCTCCTCGGTAAAAAAACTGGCGTCGGATCCATGGATCGTCTCTACGAGAGCGTCGCTAAGTTCGATGAACGCTGCTTTCAGACCCCCGCATGCCGATCGATGCTTCTCAACCCGAGAAGCGCGGCAGAAATTCGCTGCAAAGGACTAGCGCTCGAGCTAGATGAGGAGTCGGAGCCATGGATCTACTATCGCTGCCTGTCTTCGAGGTGTGGCTGCGCAGTGAGCTCAGTGTTTGGAGCACGGTGTCCCTGTGGCGGAACAACGGAAGCACCGATTCTGGCGTTGGGATGGCAAGGATGCGAGGAGTCGGAGAAGGGGTTTGTGAGAGAGGCCGTCAATTTTATTGTCAGCGATAATCTGGTGGTACGGCCTGCTTCAATTGGGGCTAGCTTGGCTCTGATCAACGATCTTGGGGTCGATGATGGTAATGTTCTTGAGAAGAAGACTGTGCATTTGAGCAGAGAGGAGGTAAGGTTGCTTGATTTGATGATCTAATGTATTCAGGTTTAGTTTTTCTAATTGTTCAGTTACTTTCATTAAATTCTTTTGATATTTTATTTTTCCTTTTTTATAGGTCCTGTTTGCGTACACTTCGAATGTCCACTTTTTTTCTGTGGTGTATTGTTAGATCCTAATTTATTGTTTGTGAATATGCCCCGAGAGTTTTAGCCGAGTGAAGGAGAGGAGGAAGGGAGAGTATAATAAGTCAAAAAATTTTTGTAGGGAGTAGTGAGGGAGAGCTCACTTTATTAGTATTTTTGTCCCGTACTTATAGATACATGTTTTATATAATTACAGAAAGAAGGAAAGGTTATGGAAAACGTTCTTAAAGCTATTAAGACTTTTATTAATCGTAAAGATTTTATGTCATATTTGCATTACAATTTGAATTTCAACATTAACGGTTTTTGACTAGTCAGCAGACTTAAAGTGAGTCGACTAAAGAAATCGGCCGAGTTGTGTTTCTGCCTTCTAAAGTATGTGTTTGTCTATTGCGGTGTTCGACCGCATGGCGATCTGACTGTTTCTTTTTCAACATGGTTGATCAGAGCGGTCGGTTGTGAGTTAGTTGTTCGGTTAGGATTCGAGGTTGATCGGTCGAACGTGATTGGTCAGCTTTTTTCGTTGAGTAAACCGTGACTTGCTTTCCTTTCGACTCGAGTTTTACAGGGCTCGTGTCTCTTCTGTTTGGTTGGTTTGTCGCGTCAGCTGGATCTCCAAATCTTGCACGATCTTAGGCGGATCTTGTCGCAGCCTATACAGGGTATCCAATGAGACTTGCTGCCAAGATGATTTACGCCTCACTTTTGGCAGGTTTTGCCGTTACTGAGCGGGAAACCGTCTCCAGAGCTTGAACCTATCCCGAGTGTTGTGAAATCTGCTGCTAAGAAAGCCTTAGGACAACAAAGAAAAAAATCGTAGGATATCAAAATGGAAACAGGAAAAGGAATAAAACCTTAAAGAAGAAATGTGCAAACAAGAACACCGAGAATTTACGTGGGTCGATCCATAGGGGATCTACATCCACGGGAGGGAATCAAGAAATAATTCATTAATACAATCTTGAAGATTACACCGCACAAAATCAAAGATGAACCAATCTCTTCAACCTTTTTATCGATCTTGATCTCGAGACAAGTTTTCTTGGTTCCAAACTCTCTATCGATCTTAATCTGGATACAAGCTTTCTTGGTTCCTCACCTTGCTCTCAGAATTTCTCTCTCCCTTAACCCTCTCAACTCATATATATCATTACTATCATTACATATATATATATATACAGACTCCTACAAGATGACCAGTTAAACACTTGTCATAACCAAATGACCGTTATATCCATTAGCTATAGAAAACTTCCTTATAAATTGCGACATCATCTGAGTTCACATAATTGAGAGTCATCATAACATCGGATTTTGGAGATGCTGCTTCATGTTTGGTCTTGAATCATCGGTTGATTGCTTACCTCAAGAAAATGTTGTTTAAATATAAACTTGATTTTAGTTGTTTAAATAAAACCCAATAAGAGCATAATTTCATGTCTCATCTAGAAGTTCATTCTAATATGTGTGGTAGATATGAAATTATTATGTTGTAGGTATGAAATTATTTGTAACCATTAGAATAGATTTATAGTGGCACAATTCTAGCCATTAATTTAGGAGATGCCACTAATATAAATAGGGGTCGAGTCTTTGAGTTTATATCAAATCAAAAAAATATGATAAATAGAAGTGAAGTTTATTCCATAAATTTTTAACCTTTGCTGAATTTTAAAAGTTTCTCTATTCCAACAAAGGCTCGTTCATTTTGGTCGTTCGTTCTCTTTGAGATTCGTGCTGGTAATTTTAATGTGTACATGTATAATCTACAATAGAAATGTAATATAAGGGGTATCAAATTAGGTGAATATTTTTTTATTATTAAGATTTTCTTAGGGTGAATTTTATAACCCTTGAATTTATTTTGAGATGTGTGTAATATAAGAGTTGATTGATTATTCATGATACACTCATTTCAAAAATATAAAGAGTTTTAGAATCCATTATAACTAAAATTTATTCTGAATATTCTGACCCAAATGAATTAATTGATGTGAAAATTTTTTACGTTACATACCACATAATTCTTATGTATTTACATATCTAACCCCTATACTTTACCTTCTATATTTAAATCACCCAAATCTTTTATATCACCTAAAAAATACCATTATTTGAGCTTTTAAAGAGTGGAATACGCCTTTTCATGCATAGTTAAGCTGGTATGTTTGTAGATTGAAGTTTAGGTGCTACACATGTAGATCTATTGGGATTGAGTGGTATGTATGTAAGTCTTCCATTCTTTTTAAATGTAATGAACATTAAATGTTCAACGCTTGATAAAGAAATTAGATAATTGCACATCTCAAGTTATTGATGAGTTTTCCCTTTTCTTTCGTTATTCGAAGAGTGGATATCCCTCTGTTAATAGGGTGGCTAGGTTGTTGTACCGAAATGACATTTGATGAATTTATTTACTCTATATTAGGTTTAGTAGTTATCATTTCAAGGGTTTTAGGACATGAAAATTTTGAGATAATAAGTGACACATTAATGCCTAAACAAGGTGTCAAAGTAAGATGATAAGATTTGAAGTTAAGACATATTGAATCTTTTTAAGATGTCGGGTTTTATATAGTTTGTGAATTCATACAATCCGGAAGAGACCTTGTAAGATGAATAAAAGAGGTGGAGAGGCATGGAGTGTCCTAGATGATAGTTTGATGGGATTTACAAAAACAACATGAAGAAATTTGAAAGCTTAAAAACCAAACAATAAAGTTTAGGTATTGATATGTAAATATATACGAATTCAGTGGTATGCATGTAAATGCTATTATTTTCTGTATGCAGAAATCACTATCTTGACTTAATTAATCAACACTTTCTAGTGTTCGACAGATTTTGAATTTGCTCAAGAGAGCGCTTGTCTCAAAGATCCCTCTAACAGACGTCTTCCTCCAAGAACTACACACAACAGATTCTGCCGAGAAATTGCCGACAAAAAACATCATCCAAGCAAATGAAAAGCTCAAAACAAGCCGCGACAACAACAAGAAAATCAATCTGAAGCTTTTCCTAAGCAAAGATACTGACAAGGTGGTGTATGCCGAAGCAGGCAAAGAGCTAGTTGACCTTCTATTCAGCTTCCTCACTCTTCCGCTTGGTTCAATCATAAAGCTTCTGGGAATGCATTCATCTTTGGGGTGCATCGACAACCTATATGAAAGCATCGAGCTTTTGAGTTCGCCCGACTACATAATCTCAAATGAGTGCAAGGAGATGCTTTCATCTCCCAAACTGGCTCCTTTCTTTGGCTTGGAGAAGCAGCTGCTGCAGGTTGAAGAAGATTTCCCTCAGACTATCAAGTCCTGTGCCTGCAAAACCTGCTTTTCATTTTCATCGGCGACCCGATGCCTTCACGGACACAATGTATCGTTCTGCAATCTTATGAACCCTAAGTTGCAGAACTCTGGTCAAGAAGTAGGTGGAGGATATGTGAGAGGAATGGGATGGTATCTGATAACAGATGAGATGGAGGTGAGCCCGCTTTCGCCGATCACCAGCGTACACATTATCAACAAGTTGATGGTGCCTATCAGCGGTTTAGAGGAAGTTACAGCCAGCCTAGGAGAAGCAGAGGTACTTATTTTTTTGGAAGTCTTAAATACATACATACCACTTAATTTTTTATGTATTTACATATCTAACACCTAAACTTCAATTTTTTGCATGTATCTTCTTTCCTTTGCATGAAAGTGTATTTCACTTTTAAAAGTTACAATATTGATATTTTTTATGTGATAATGAAAAACTTGGGTGGTATAATTATAAAAAAAGTAAAGTTTTGGTATTTGACATGTAAATATATAGGATTTGGGTCGTATGTATGTAAATGCCCCTAATTTTCTCAAGTTTACTCAGTTGCCACAATTCTGTTTGTTTTTTTTTTTTTTTTTTGCTTTTTAAAAGATTATTTGATGATTAGCATCTTTTTTAATCTTATCCACTCAAGTTTGGTGGCCTTAAAAGGGATGCCATTCAACAATTATCCACTCAAGTTTGAAGTAAAAACATGCTTAATGCTCAATATAGATCTTAAAAATCTGCTTTTCCAACAATAATTAATTATTTTTACAGACAAGTTACAGTTGCCCGAATGGATCCTAGGTTTCCACATCTTCACCATATCCATTCAATTGAATGACTTTTAAATTACAAATTGCATAGCGAAAGAATTGCACTTAGCGGTTGAAGAATGTTGTTTTCCCTAATTTAGAAATTTGAACCACATATTTTACTTTTATTGCTCACTAGTCTAAAAAAATATATTTTTGGTATAAACTTATAAAAATACCATAAAGAGGTAGATCTTGATCGAGAGGAGGCTAGCATCACATCACACAGCTTTTATGTATTTATATATCTAACATCAAAACATTCATATTTACATGCGTATCACTTAAATCTTTAATGCAAAACTTTAGTGTTTGATATATAAATACATAAGAATTGTGTGGCATGCATGTAAATTTCCCTAAATTGTAACTCTCATCAGCTAATAAAATATAAACTTTCTCTACATCATGAGCAAATATCCATATATTTTTGCAGTATAACTACATTTTTTTTTCTTTCGTTTATCTTTGTTTATGGTGCAGGCTTTGGATTTGTTAAGGGCTTGTTTGATCTCAGATGAGGTGCTCAGTGACGTATTCTCTCCCTATTTATTAAAGCTGCTTCAGCAGAATTGGTTGGGCTGCTTTCCTTGCAAATCATACAAGTAAGTGTATTTATGAATAAACACCCCATAATTCTTATCTGCTTACCTATTTACCCGCAGGTGCTGTATTTTGTAAAATATATTTGTTTGGTAATTTGTATAATGTCTATATGGCTATAAAAATTTTTACTTGTTACCTGTCTACTATTATTAAAACTTCATATGAATGGGGATAATAGTTTTAAAATTTTGTTAAACTTGGCCTCTACACATGCTTTTATCCTGTGAAATTATTATTAAGAAAAAAAAAGAAATTGCAAATCTGAACTCGGCAGTTCTCATATAATGTTGAATGATTTGTTTTATAAGAGTTTGCTCTTCACGCTATCAATGGAAAAATTTTTGGTAAGAATATTTTTACTCAAATTTGATCAGATACTTCTATGATCATTGCATTTATTTAGGCATAAATATAATCTACAACTAATTAATTAAATAAAATTTGGCACATTTGAACTTGATCACAACTCGCTGGCTATCGTGGATCATTGTCGGCTGCCCGCTACTCTTTGCATCAAAGTTCAACTTCATATTCCAATGAGCATTGCTCAGTACCGTGACCAAGCCATCACTGCTGGTTTGAAAATTAAGCAGTATCAGTATTACCTTGACTTTATCATTAAACTTGATTTTTACTAAACACAACTGGCTTGTTATTGTGTTGAAATTGTTTAGATGTTCTGTTATTGAACTGTCTTCCACTATCTTTTTGTTGAATAACCTCTTTATTAGAAAAACCTTATTAAAAAACAAAAGGTTTTTTTGTAATTTTTTGTTAGTGCCCCCTTGAGATTCAACATGATTGTTTCATTTGCTATACTAAACTTAACAGATGAGGAATGATAAACGGATCAAACATAGTATTGTTCCATCCAACTGCTACCATTCATCCATATTCATAAACTTGGGCTTCTTGGTTATTTTTTGTAGTGACAAGTACAATTTTTTTCTGATACAACAAATCATCCACTTGCATCCTCCAGAACGTTAAATTCATCTTATTGAACTTCTACACTTTTTACCATGCTTCGCTGGTCTTTGATCCCACTCGGATCAAATCTCCGCTCTAATTCCACTTTGTTGTGGGTGATGATTGACATCTCTCTTTTACTTCTACTAACACATCCTTGAATAATATCACATTGGTTCGATAAAAGCGAAACAAAAAACAAATTTGAACATCGAAAAAGCACACCATGATTTAATGTGTAAAAACCAGATGACAAGAAGAAGCCATGGATCCAGGGCCAAATCTCTTCTCTATAAAGCAATGAAATTTACACGACTTCGCTCCAAGTTCTTTTATCTCAATCCACAAATGAAAAGTTGATTCAATCCATTTTGGTGTGATTGGACGATCATTCCAGCAATAATTTTTTTTTTTGCTTAGCTTTTTTTTTATATCTTTTAAATAAATTTAAAGCCAGAATTTAGATTATTTGATTTTTTTTTTTTTTTTTTTTTTTTTTTTTTTTTTTTTTGCTTAGAAGTTAAGATTTAGTGTTTTTGACTTCCTTTCAGTGCTCTTCATGTTTTGCATAAAATGTCGTAATTGATCCAATGAAAAATACTAACATGCTCCAAAAAAATTATTTTATTTAACATTAATTAAAAAATACGCCTCTTAAATATATTTTTTTTATGAATTTCTGATAAAAAGAAAATAAATTGTAAAGAACATTAAATAAAATTTATAAATAAATTTTTTTATTTGCAAAAAGTTTCAAAGCGGTGAATTAGCTGGCGCTTTTTAAATGGACTGACGCAGAGGAATCTTTCCCGTTGATTTGGAAAACTTCTACCGTCCCATTTACATGCTTACCACCAAATTCCTATGTATTTGCATATCTAACACCTAAATTTTAGAATTTACATTTATATCACCCAAACCTTTCATATCACATAAAAAATACCACCATTTTAATTATTAAAGAATAAAATACACCTTCCCATGCATGGATAAAATGGTATGTATGTCAAAAATTAAAATTTAGGTGTTAAATATGTAAATACATAAGAAACTGAGTGGTATAAATGTAAACCTTCCTATTTATTATGAGGAGGAGAAAGAAGAATCATATCTTATCAACATCGAATCAGAATTTCGACTATAAGTTTTAAAGTGAAGGAATTTATAAAGTTTAAAATGGCACTCGAATTCATTCCATATTAATTAAAAATAATTTAAAAATAATTTATAAAAATCTAAAAAAATCGCGTTGGGCACTCACTTTGCCCAAAAAAAGTTAATAATAAGGAATTTTTATAAATATTGCATTAGAAATAGTATTATTTATGTATCTCATATTCTAATGTTTAATTTTGCAACACTAGCTTAACTCCTCTCCCTTGGACTTCTCCAATAAACATCCACCAATCTAAAACGCACTAATTTCATAAAATTAAATTTTATGTGTGAGATATAGGACTGTAAATGAGCCTAGCTTGAGCGAGCTCAGACTTGGCTCTTGTTTAACCCGTTCGAAATTGCTCGTGTTCGAAACCTGCTCGTGAACAGTGTGTTCGCGTTCGGCTCGAAATTGTCTCGTTAAAATTAAATTGAAAAAATAGATGTAGAGTGCTGGATTCGAACCTGGATCAAATATATGCAAAACAAGACGCATAACCATATTACAACAATACCAGTTACAATTTAAACATAAATATAAATATATATAATATATTATTATATAAATAATATAATATTATTAAAAAAATTATATAATTTTTCTTATTTCGATCTAAAAACGAGTTGTTCGCGAACAATGAGCTTTTTTTGACAGCCCTAGTGAGATACATAAATAAATAATTCTTCCGGGGCTATGTATATAAAAACCCCTAATAATAAATATAAAAAAAAGAAAAGCAAAAGTCTTTATTCTTAAAAAATTGCATCTGCTTCCAATTCCGGTTTGCTTTATTCGCGTACAACAAAAGCCATTTAAGAGCTTTGAATGCTTCTGTTTGGCCCAAATTTGTCTATAAATATTAACCACCGGTTCCTCCCACTATCATCAAAACATGGGAGGCAGCAAAGGCGGCGGAGGCAGAGGCTCGGGCGGCGCCGGCAGCGGTGGCCGGAATTATTCCGGCGGTAAAGGTGGCGGTGGTGGGATAATGAAAGCACCCGGAGGTGGTGGAGGCTATATTTCGAGGACAACTTTTGAAAGTAATCCAAAGGGTTATTTTCAAGGGCTTCGACATGGTAATGGTGCCGCCGGCGGCGGCGGCGGGCGGTGGCGGTGGAGGTGGTGGTGGGGGAAATAAAGGTTCGTGCTATATTATGTGAGGTGTAATCATGAACATAAATGATTAATATAGATATTTTGTGTTATTTTCAAGTGGTTTTTTAATCACTTGCTTGCTGTTTGCTTATATACTCGAATTAATTTTCTGTTTTAACGCTTGTGGTTTCAATATGTTTTGTTAGTACAACTATATATATGTATATATATGTATGTATGCAGTGTCGCAACCCAACCCAACCCGTGGCCTGTTGGTTGGCGGGGTTCACTGGAAATCACCTCAGGTCACGGGCCGTGGCGCGGGGTTCTCAAATAGTTAGACATATGGAACGGCCTCTCATCATGTGGGTGTGTGTGTGTGAGAGAGAGAGAGAGAGAGAGAGAGAGAGAGATGTAATTTAATGTTTTATATGATTTTTTTTTTTTAAATTTGTTTGATTTTTCAAAATATTTTGTTTGTTTGTTTTTTTAAATTGGGAGCCAAATCAGCATTATATTAAGTGAAGTAAATGAAACAAGTAAAGAAGAAATTACAAGTAAATATAGCAAAAAAGAAAAGAAAAGATGGAAAGCTAAAATGAGCTGTTTGGCTAATCCATGCACTTGTTTGGCAAAGAGACTCCATTCATGTCATTATGTCCGCCATCCTAAATGTGCGAACGATGGTGCCGATCGTACCACAGCGTTTGACGATGTGGTGGAATCCACGTCTCCAATTTATCAGGGTTAATATTTTTCCCAAAAGAACACCATTAAACTCGCATGTGAAAGCAAACTAAGAAGCAAGCAAGAGAAAGAAGCCGCTGGTGACTTCAAAACAAAGCAGAAACAATGGTGAAAATAGTGGAGAGGTAAATACAAATGATATGGATTAAGAGCATAAAAGAAGAGGTAGGCACACAACACGAGAAGTGAGACTAAGCAAACAATTAGTATAATCTTTGAAACAGTTAAGAGTTCAACGAATAAGATAGAATATCATTATAGCTCGATAAAATCACAAAAAAAAAATAGAGCAGCACTAAAAAAATGCACCCATAACGCTCACAATAAATCCATCAAGCTCAGCAAATCAGAGAACCAAAGCCACGAAAAAAGAGAAAATTTGTTGCCATCTCCGCATATCGGAACAATGGGCCACTTGTGAATGACTGCAGAACCAACCATTTTCTTAGGGCTAAACCCCTTTTTGAGAGGGATGAGGAAGTGATTTTATAAGAGGGATAAAAAAAATAAACTATCATCTTATATAAGTAAAAATTTAGAATTTGAGGCGAGCAGCTAACTCTCCTAAATTATTCACGAGTCCGCCTCTGACAGCGTTAGGGCCCGGCCCATTCTCTGTACTTGCTGACCACACATAATTTTTTAAAAAAATAAAAAATCGGCCCAAACATCGAAAGTTCCAACCGAAACTCAGGCTTTGTTAAGGGGCGGCGGCCGGCTTGCGGAGCGGTGCGACACCGTTATTCTCAGGCGTTTGGGGAGGCTGTGCCGCTGCATCCTATCGTGACCCCGAATGCAGAAAGCGCTCATGGACCCCCGTCCCAACTTTGCCTTCCTGCCCCGTGCCCTTTCTTCGTATTACCCCATCTGAAACAAATTCGGCCCGGATTTTCGTCCTCGCAGGCGACAAACATCTCCTCTTTCCTCATCTTCTCCGAAGGTCCTCCTCCTCCTCTCACTCAGTCTGGATTCTCATCCTCGCAGCAACGGTAAAAAACGTTGTCGTATGAATGCTTTGGATCTGTTATGCCTCTTTTGCCCTAATCTTCCCAAATGTTTCAGCTGCGCGGTAGCGGTAAGAAACAAGTATCCCATAATTATTTTCACACAGCTGTAACAAACAGACACTTAACTTCCCCACAACAGCTTCCTAGGATAACACAGCTACAGCTAAAAAACTAAGAAATCACAGCTGCTGCATCAAACAGAGCCTCACTAAAGCAATCAAGTATAGTATGTTAAAGCTGTGCAACATAAAAGTTACAATTAAAGCCACAAAAAAAAAAAAAATTCTTAAAAAAAAATATAGTTTTCATTTGTTTTTTGCCCGGAACGTTACCTGTAGTAAGAAATAATGTGGGGTTAATGGTTATATTTTCATATAAAAAAAGACATTTACACAGATACCGCTCAATTCTTGTGAATTACATATCAAACAACTAATTTTTTTTTTATATATATTTAGGGTATGTTTGGCGCAGCTGTTGATTATTTTTAATCTATTGATAAGCAGGTTATTCTGATAATCTGATAATCTGCAGATTATCAGAATAAGCTGGCTTGCTGTTTGGGAGAGCTTATTTAGAATAGCTTATTGATAGTTGTTGTTAGATAAATGATCATTATGCTCATGTTTGATGAAACTGTTTATAACAGAACTGTATATAATTATTTAATTTTTTTATAAACTATCAACTTATTAGCTAATAAATTTTGATTAATCAATTATTAATTACATAAATAAAGTATTTCTTAAAAATTTATTAAATAACTTAAAAATTTTGATATATTTTTATTCATTAATCAAATATTAAATAATTACATACAAATTTATCTATTATAATTAAATTGATGATATACAAATTAATTATAGATTCTTAAATTAATTATAATTAAATTTTTGATATAATTAATTATAGATTCTTAAAATTATGATATATAAAATTATTTTCTCAAAACTTCCCATATTTGCCCCAAACCCTTGCTTATGTCACTCCCCCTTCCGGTTTCGCCCAAAACCTTCGTGAACAAAACATAATATAATTGTGTCTATTTAAAATATTTTATTACTTTAATATTTATTTAAAATAATATTTGAATAAAAAATATTATTTTTAAAACTTTGCCATTTTTTTTGAAGGTATTTAAATAAAATGTAGGATACATAAAACTACAACGGCATCATAAATTTAGAAATTTAATTAAAAACTTCCTACTTTTAATGCATTGTAATTTTGGAACATAGCTCCGAATCGAATGTACGGAGGTCGCCCCCACCTTCCCCCGCAGGAAATACTGACACGCGTCACCCAAGTAATGGCTGCTGCCCCCCTAATAAATTGACACGCGTCCTTCAAAGAAAGCTGGTCCCGGCTCACAAGCTTTATCGGTCAATAATTGTCAAGCTCATTGTCACTGCTGATCATTATCCCTTTCTATTATTTTTTAAATTTTACGAAATAAATAAAAGCTGATCCTGCCCCCACTCTCGACATCTCCTGCGACCTTGTTGTTTCGCCAACCGCTCCCACCTTTGCTCGTGTCTCCCGCCTCAGTTCGCGTCTCCTGCATTTCCTTAGCCCGAAAGCATCACTTCGCCTCCTTTTCACGATAAATGGAGCGGCTCTTCTTCAGTTTACACACGGTCTTTTTATGTTCTTCTTTGATAGTTGTACTTCCACGGGATAAATGAAGAGAAGTGCATGGAGTAGTTCTTTACGGTAGAGGAAGAAGAAAGAAGAAGAAGATTGTTCTCCTTTGACTTCTTTTTGGTGACTTGTAACAGAAGAGAAATCGAGTTTACTTCTCTTGTAAGTTTATCTTCTTCGGTGTATCTCAGTATAGAGAGAGAAGAAGAGAGAGTACGAAAGTGAGAGATCCCTCTTGTAAGTCGAGACAATCGATTGTTGTATATTCCTCAAGTAGTAAAATTCTCTGTAACTCTGTGGATGTAGTCAATTTGTTGAACCACGTAAATATGCGTGTTTCGCTCTGTTACTGTTTTCTAGTATGAATTTTCTCGTCCTATTTTTCGCTTCGTCGAATATCGTTCTTCTATTTTCTATATATATATATATATATATACCAAAACACAATTTTGATGCAAAATTATATTTTATTTTCATCCAAATTAAACAAATTTTAAAAAATTCTACTTTTCTATAAATAGTGCCCGAAGGCCCCTTCTACGTCCACAGAAAAAAACATGGGTGGCAAAGGCGGCGGAAGTGGTGGAAAGGGAGGCGGCGGAGGAAGTGGAAAAGGAGGAGGCGGGGGAGCGGGTGGCAAAGGAGGAGGAGGCGGCGGCAAAGGTGGTGGTGGAGCTCAACAATCCTCCGGCAGCAAAAGTGGAGGCGTTGGTGGGATGATGAAAGCCCCAGGGGGTGGTGGAACTTATATTTCTAGGCCAACTTTTGAGAGTAACCCACAGGGTTATTTCTCTGGTCTTCACCATGGCGGCGGAGGAAATTAAGTACGCTGGATCTTGTCCTGCTCTTTCTCTATGTACACTATGTAATGGGTAAACTATAACCATGAATGTGAATAAATAAAGCTGTAGTATATCTTTGTAGTGACCTTTTAATGACCAATTTCCTTGCTTGCCTAAGCTTTAAATCTGTGTTTTGCACTCATTTTATTTTATTTTATTTTATTTTTTCAAAAACTGTACAAATATGTTTGGCAAGTAATTAATTTAGTAGGGTTTATAACTACTAAGAGTATGTATAATATATATTAGAATAGGTGAAATTAAATAAAGGTAATTCTGTTTGTTTTCTTGTAATAAATTTAGATTATTTTATTAAGTTATCACGCTTCACTTTGTTCTCTTTTATCTTTTGATAAAATTGCAACCATAAGTAAATAATTTATACCCTCCAAAAATTGATTAAAAAATTAACTATTCATGTTCTAGACATTATAATTTCATGATAATTATTATAAATTCCAATATGATACATAAATCATAATACAAAAAACGTTTTAATTATTTTTAATGTTAGCTTAAAAGCATTTAAATGCATAAAATGTTTTTTTTTTTTTTGAAATATTTAAAATTTAAAAAGATCTCCATCATGACCAATGGATCTAAAGATAACCCTAAACCTATTATGGAAAAAATATTAGGTCAGGACTTTAAATCATCCGGAGTTCAATAAGGAGGCGCCATGTGTAAAGTGGACTCATCACAATAATCAGTGATTGGTCCACTTTACACATGTCGCTCCCCTATAGGATTCCGAATGCATCCAGAGTCCTGACATAATATTTTCTCCCTATTATGCTTGACTAAAGCAGAATACATTCAAGAGGGATCAATAATCCGTGACGCAGCAAGAGAGTTGAGCTTAAAATAAATACAAAAAAGACATAATAAATAATTAATCAATCAAAATCCAAGCATTATATCGTACAGTTCTGTTTAAACTATTTACAATAAAACATAATAAAAAAATAATGAAACAAAATAATATTACATTCTTCTCAAAATAAATACAAAAAAAAAATAAATCACTAATTTATTAGATGAGCCCAAATAAATCAATGTTTGCTGCCGGTCCAACCCCCTTTATTTTCTCCCCATGATTGTTTTATTTTTGAAAAAACCATTTACAAAAAAATTTAAAAAATAAAAAAAGCGACCATATTTACTTAAAAAAAAAAAGAAAAAATAAGTGAGCCAAAAAGAAGAATTTTGCAGGCCCACCATTTGCTAGTGCTCAACATGCAAGAGAATAATTTCCTCCAAAAAGTTTTCATTTTGAACTGTCAGCTCTCTATACAGATCCGGCCTGCAAAGATTGTTGATCATATTAGACAACAAAGGCATAAGAATTGGGAAAAGAAAATTTGGGTCATAAGAATATGGGATAATTACATACAGGCCACCCAAAACATTGCTATTTACAAATCAAATACCTAAATAATTGTTTTGAACTACCTAAACTATCGAGAATTTGATAGAAAAGAAAAAATATGGGTTGGGGATTTACCATGAATATTGATAGTTGAGTGAGAATTTGAAAAATAGATGAAAGAGGGTGGTTGATTTGTAAATAGCAATGTTT